CGAATTCAAGGAAGGCAGTATGTGTTCCAGCTTATTCTGCTATTTCATTTGTTGTACGAAAAGTATTTCAAGTACAAAAGAGTACGATTTTAAAATTGCTGTGAATTCTTTATAAAAGAGTACAGAATTTATCATATAATGTCTCACAGTGTGTTTAGTGAAAATGAAACTTTTAATATCACCCTTTCAAAATAGACAAGAAGTTGTCATTATTTTTAATTAACACACTCATTCTCTCAGCAACCATCCAGTTATGTGCAAGTAAAGCATCTCATCATTTCACGTGAAAAGTTACAATTCTTCCCTAGAAGAAGTAAGATTTTCAACTAAAATACTTGGCCTATCAAATACCGGAATCTTTCTCTTTACTATCCCAACATCATGGGAGAAAAAGGCAAACATTAATTCTCAGAAAGAGACGATCTGGGAATTGATCAGCCAGCTATCTTTTCTTTCTGGGGTTACCATTCTTCAGTTGACTATGATACTTAAAGGGCCAAAGTTTAAAACTACTCTTCAGCAATAGAGACCATTTGGGGCATGCCACCCTGCCATAATCAATGAGTGTTTAAAAATGCTACCCATTTGTTTTTTCAATAGGTTCCAAACAAAAAACGTTCTATCTTGTTTGTGCTGCATGGCTGCATTCAAGCTCCACACCGGATTTGTAGCTAAGCTAGGTAATGGGAGGGTTTTTAATCTTTATCTTTTTTTTTTTTTTGGTTAGGCCCAGAGTTATTCATTCAAGTAAACAAAGGATGGTCTATTTTTGAAAATTAACAATGCTTAGACTAGACTGTAAGCAGCGATTTCGTATTTTATCGAGTTACTGGCTCCATCATAGGCGACATGAAAGTGTGCAATGCCACCATGTTGAGTTATGATAATCAACATCTTTTTTGAAACAAAGATTTTTTTTCCCCCAATGCAGAATTTGATACAAGAGGTAATCTGTTCCTTTGTGGGCTGAAAAAAATCTGGTTTACGCTGGTTTGAACCAGCGGAATCTCTTGTGGTTAAGCCTTCTGCTGTGACTAAAATCAAAACCGCACTGCAGAGCATGTGAGGGTCCGTGCGCGCGCGCCTCCGTGTGTGAGGTGCGTCACGTGACGCCCAGAACCACCGAATTTTTTTTTAAAGCTGATAACGCGACTGCCGTCTCTGTCCTCATACAGATAACGAATAAATGCTGAACTCTATTAAACGCCCTTTACACATTATCGTGGGTCGAACACACAATTTTCTGAACTTATGATGACAGTCTATTTATTTTGCTATAAACCCTCAGCACGTAACGAACAGATTTGTGCCTGGTAATGATCTGCTCTGCCAGGGCTATATGAAATGATACCGACCTTCTTTAGATCTTGGGGAATTAAATTGACCGACTTCGCCCCCTGGTCTGCAGCTGAAGTTTGACACACTTTATGCACAGCAAGCCCAAATCGGAAGTTAAGAGAAGCTCGTATTAAAAAATTAAGCAATCATTATCCGCTAAATATTGCTTTGCCACAAAACTTTCCGCACATTTGGGAATATCCTACCCCTTATATATTTTTTGAACCTTCTCTTTAGGATTTACTCAAAGTCACTGATCAGTATAATTTTGCATATGGAAACTAAGAGGCTCTTTAGGTTCAAAACTAGAGCTCAGAACATTTTATTTGCCCTATTATCACAATCCACCATGAAAGGCTTTAGATTTTATTCTTTAAGTTGTTTTTTTCCTTTTTTGATAATGGTTCTCATGAAATGAAATCAAGTTAACTGTCAAAGTTTCCACTCTAAATACAGCATCACTCCATTCAAGAACTCACCTCTCTCAATGAAATAAAATGTTGCCATGTAGAAATGGCAAATACGATATTTTAAAAGAATAGAATGTTAATGCTTAAAACAATAGTCTTTGGAAAGCTCAAAACCCAACAATACTCAAATGTGCAAAGTAGGTAATTTTGTCCCTTCTTTGTAAATCAAGGATGAGTTATAGTTGATTGAATGAAATGGATATGAACCAGAAATAAATTTACACAAAGCAATTAATTTGGATTAAATGAAATGTGTATTGTATGAGGGACACTAAAAATGCATTTGAAAAATTCTTAGTTTTGGAAATTTTGACATATCTAATTATGGCAGAAATGTTTATGTACCTAAGAGTAAATTAATATACTTTATAGTTAATTAGAAGATTATAATTATATGTAGTAACAATCAAGTTTTAGATGCCTAAAAAACTGTGATGTAAATTACCAGAATGAGAAATAATACTTATTGTATCCATATTTGTTCAAATCTTCACAAAGAGGCTACTATACGGAGGATGGGTATGTTGCATGGAAAATAAGTACCGAGTGCTTTATTTATAATCATTGCTATTAATTCCTTTTTTATTTTCCTTTTCTGATCTATATTTTTAAGTTGACAGATATATCCCAATTTCGATTAAATGAATATTGCTATTTTTGTCCCATTTTGTTTATCTCTTTTACCTATATATTAAAATTTTATCATAAATATTACATGGACAAGAAGTTCTGAAAATTGATTCATAAACAATTAACTTAAAAGTAAACTGATTTGTGGAAGCAAACATTTTTTATATAAATTATAGGTAATCCTACCTATAAAAAACTCTTCTTAGCTACTGATCTATAAAAGTTAATATGAAGAGCTGACTTAAAATCCTTCCTTTCTTTAAGGAAAGACCTATTTTGATTCCAAAATATGAACAAATACTGATACAGAATAAAAAGTTATTTTCAAGTGACCATACCTGGTTAAGGATGTTTTTTAGTTTGAGAGATTTTAATTCCTATATTATGACAAAGAGCTTCAAAACAAAATGTAATGACTTCATATGATATGGAAATTTTGCTACATTTGATAACAAAATATCCAAAAAATTAAGTGTGGTCTCTTTGAACTTTTACACCTGATTCAAATTTTAGACTGAAAAGTTCACATAAATAATAATCTAATAGTTACATATTCTTATGACTATCATTTATCATAGTATATTTATTGAAGTGACAGCTCCTTACAACTTAAACTTCAGGTTCTCCAAGCACTTTCAGAATTTGTAGGTGTGATTTGTACAAGTCCAGGGGAAATCTCTGCATGATCACTTTAAAGTGACAGGAATATAATTTGAAAAATTCAGAAAATATGAACTCAATCTATTTTTGTGGAATATTTTTCTTTAGGCATAAAAATATCATACTTATATGTATGTAAGGCAAATGTTTTAGGCACGTAAAATGTCCATTAAGAGAAGTGAACATGCTTTAAAAAAAAAAAAAAAGGATCCCTGTCACAGAACTACAACATCCATTACAATAAAGGAGTCTGAGTTAGACAGGAACACCCCCTTCCTTTCTATTTCCTCTATATTAGGCAGTAGTTTCAAATGAGGGAAAGACCCATAGCTTTTTAAAGAACTGACATGGGAACTATGCATTCACTTTTTTGCAAAAGAGATAGTACTTTTTTGCAGTAGACAGGAAATAAAATTATGATTCATTCATTCAAGAGGTATGAGCAATCAAAATCTCACTTTAAAAAAGGAAGAAAATATTTTTTTCTCTCATCTTCACATTATTTAATCTATTATGAGTAAAACTCCTTTATCACATCACCCTTTTATGTTTGATGTGCTATTTTTTTTCCTTTAGCTATTCTCACATTTCAATCAGGGAAGCTGAAATCCCAAGTCAAATCTGAGTGTGTTTACATGTCTGAACTCAAGCTGATAATATCCAAATAGTGGAGGAGGTGAGATCTTTCCAAAAACAAACATAGTAAGCTCAGTGATTCTTTTCCCTGTTCTTGGGTGGGTAGGTGGGGGCCTTAATCACACAAGCAACATCTCTGTTACAGTTTAGAGTAGATAGTAATATAGTAGCAACATATATAGACCTATAATATAATCTATTTGAAATGCTAAACACGATTATGCAATTTTTATGATGTGTATCAATATATTTTATTTTACTATCTTATTAAAATTATGCTTTACCCAGTGAATGATTTCTGTTCATTTTATTTAGGCAGAGTAGAGATCTTTACCGTACTTGCCAAAGTAACATTAATAAACATGTTCAAGTCTTGCTTCCAAAGTTCCATACCATTTATTTCCTTTAAAAGTGTTAAAGAAAATCAGTCACTAGGGTTTTTTGAGACACTTTTTAAGTCATCTCTACATCTCTACACTGGTGTTCTTAAAACATTTTTTAAAAGTTGTATATATTATCTACATGAATTAATGAAATCCTCAGTATTAATTCAAAGAAAGAAGCAGGACATTAATTAGACTCATGACACTACTGTGTGAGCCAATGAGAATTGACAGCCAAGTTGTAAAGTCCTTTTAAGAAAAAAATGTATCTTAGTTTTTGCCTATGCAGATCTTAAACTGTAAAAAGATTTATCCATTATTATCATTATTATTATTATTATTAGCATTATCGGACAGAAGCAGGCCCTCTATATGGGTATCCAAGTTCTGTACTGGTGCTTACAATTTGCATTTTGGTGAATGCATTTTTAAGACGCTACACAATATGAGACTGAGCTACCCTGTTGAATTTTGAAAGCTTACTTTCATTTGTTTTGCTCCAAGTGTTGATTTAATTATACTGCATTATTATCAAAGCTGTATTATGTACTTTTTTATTCCTTTTACATGTGTTTGAGGTGAAGACCTTGGCTTTGTCTGCAAACAGTGTGTTTCAAGTTATTTCTTAAGTACTAAATAATAAAGAAAGGAGAAGAAAAGATTTTTTTAAAAGATAGCAGACAGTGATCACAAGGTAAAGGGTTAAATGTAAGATCTCCAAGAAACATTTTGAAGTTGATTAAGACTCCAGCTTTGCATTAAACAGTATCGCTTCCACATGAGTTGCTGCTAATACTGTTAAGGAGCAGCTTGAGAGCCCAGTGTGCCAGTGACCTCCTTCACCCTCCAGCCACCCACCGGGCCTTCCTGATTAGCATTCTACCTGGTTCTCTGAGGAGTTCCCATCATCCCCTAGGAGCTCATTCCGTACTTCGTCACTGTAGGCGATCCGTGACCTTTTCTATAAAACAAAAGAGAGAGAGCGAGATGAACATTAGAAAGTAAAGGCTTCGAAGCTTTATTGGTATCAAGGCTGATCATCTCAAACCTCGAGAGCCCCCTAATGGAAACCTATTGGCGACAATCTGCAAACCAAAGTTGTTATAAAGTTCCTGAACTTGAGAAGTTCAAATGTAAATTAGAAGTTTTAAAAATGCCAGTAATGAAAGAAAACTCTGCACTGTGTAAGTATGCTATTAATATTCGTAAATGGATCAGAACTTGTACATTATACATCATTCAAATAAGACCACTAAGCTGAAATACAGCTATATCGTTGTGTATCTGTAAAATACACCAGATTTTAATTAAAACAGGAGTATTTGGGTTTTTTTTTAATATTGTGGCAGGAAATGCACTATACAATTTAGGTCTTTTAAAATCTCTAATTCTGAGATAATAATTACATCTCCAACAATATTCTGGAATGCCTGGAATAGTATATTTCTTTCATTATTATGATATTACTAACCAGAAAGAGGGGAATTTAAAAGCCCATCCCCTGTCTAAACAATAATTTAAATGTCTCCAGGTTCTCTACAAATAATAGCCTAAGGAAAAGTAATGGAAGTGAGAGTGTATGTGTGTGCATGTGTGTGTGTATATGTCTGGTAAAACAAATTAAATTTCCCAGTTCCAGTAAATGAAGGCAAGTAGGCTACGAATCAACTTTTCACAATCCCAGTAAATAAAGACAAGTGGACTAGGAGTCAATGTTTCGCACACTGAAATTTTGTTTTACAAGAAGTCTGCCCTTACCTGTAAAGTCAAAGGAACATGTCTGTAAGCAATTCATGAATTATCTAAATGTACACACATTTGGAAAAGCTAAAAGACTGAAAATTAGCTGTGAAGCTGGAGTATGATCCTTAGATCATACTTTAGCATCACTATTTAAGACCCAAATTCAGGTTTATAAGTTACTTTGTTGCCTTTTCTGTTTTTGAACTAACTAAGCAAAACCAGTTAATTAAAAAATGGCAGTTGGAAACCAGCAATTTCTGCGTTACTTAGGGTCTATGGTTTGGGATTTAAATTTCTTACCTGTTCAACTGTGATCTGAAAAATTATTGTAGTTTAAAGGGACTATCCATAATCCATGAGCAGAAGTCAACAATAAGTTTTTAAATTAGATTTTTATACTAGTGAATGAGTAACACTTCTTGGCCACACAGAAAATCAAAATACCTTAAACATCAAATATTATAATATTACAATTTAAAAGGACCTTAGACAAGAGCAACCAATAGACTTTAAATCTTTTTAATGTTGCAACCTTTCTCAATTGGATTCCTTATCTGAACCACAAAACACAGAAAATTATTTCAGTGACTATTTTCTCAATTTTCCCAAGGATGGTACATGAGAGAAAATTTGGTTCATTACATATAATTGAAGACTGAGGGCTTATTAAGTCTCAGGCAGAACCCAGTTGAAAAAAGCTAAATGGAGTATAAATAAAAAGAAATAAATCTAGACACCTCTTTGCTTTTTAGAGAAAGAAAAATCAGTCTCATGTAATTCTAAAAGTAGCTTTGGTTAAAGTGAGACTAGAACCCTGGGGTCTGACTCACCATTCAGTGCTCTTTCTACTACACAAAATTTCTGCCCCAATCTATTATCCTCTGAATTGACTCAGGAAAAAAAGCACAAGAATTGCAAAATGTTTCAGTATTAAGGAGATAATAGCATTCCCCTCCCTGCCCTGAGACTCTACCCCAAGCCCCACTTCCCTGCCACAAATGTATATCTTATATCTTGGCAACTGCAAGAAGTCTATAAGCAGGTAAATAAAACCAACAATGTTGCAGAGAGAAGGATAAAGTAAGTTGTTAGCTTGAGGTCAGTAAAGACATATCAGCTCTCTTGACAATTCAGGAGTGACCCAATTCATTCATTTGTGAACATGCCAGACTTTTTACCATCACAAACAGAATATATTAAGCCTGCTTCTCTTATTGTATTTACTGAAGCCACTATTAATTAACTATTTCTACTGACTTCATACAGAATTATATTTAAAAACACTAAATTATTAGGACAGTCCACTTCATGGCCTTAATACAATATTTAGATCAAGCCAAAGCTTTCTTTTGCTCATTTGGAGATCCCACTACAGTAGTTTCAAACTAGCTAAGCAAAAGTATTTTAAAGCATTAAAGGAAATGAGAACCTTTAAAGAGGCTGTGGTATCAGAGCTGCCTTTTTAATTATTCATTTCATCACTATGGGGGACTAAAACATTCCACAGTATGCAAGAATATCATATGGAGATTGTTTTTGTTTTTCCCTTTTTTCACCAAAATACCAACAAATTGGCATAGATTGTTCAATTACATTATATTCTTATTTTGATTTACTGTACTTCAAAAGAAAAAATTACAAATGTGTATCCCTAAATATCTAATCTTGTTTTGGTTAGAATCCACTGCTTTTAAAACCCAGCAATTAAGAATGTACATGCTCCATAACAGAGGAGAGCTAAAGATTTATCCATAGTTGAAGGGTGGTCACTATAAATGTCATTCTTTACCATTGGGATGGTAAAAACTGGTCATTTAGATGGCTTTCTGGATATAATTAAGCAAATGATATCCTGAGTTTAACAAAGTGTTGTCTGACAGGACTTCTTCCTTTTCTTAAGGAATGAAAAGACAACTCATTTCAAATATTAGAAATAGTTCCTCATGAAAATGACACAACAATGCTGAAAATTGAACTCTTTTCATTTGAGTTTCGTTTTACAAAAAGAAATCGAGTCTTCGCTTTACCAAGAATTATATTTAGATGCCCAACATTGCTATTTTCTCATAATTTTTTATGATTTGAAATTATAAGTAAGCTGATTGTAATCAACGATAATTTAGAATGCAAGATCATCACTAAACTAATCGAATACCAAAAAAGGGCAAATTCCTTTCAATGACAAACTGCTTATTTATTTATTATTATTATGGATAATTTTCCTCCAAACATCAATAAATTATGTTTCCTTTTATGGACTTTTAAAAAATCTCCTGCTACATTACTAATTCTCTACATCATACTTTAATTTGGAAGATTCAAAGTTAATGAAACGGAAACATCTACTGTATCTTGATAAACCTAACTAAAATATTTTTACTTTACTATCAACTGTATAAAATCTGTACTTTAGCCAAATGCAAACATGAGAATTTGAGCTGGAAATGTCACACATTCAGCTACAGTTTGAAGGAACCCAATTCATAATGCATTTTATAAATAGTTAATGACTTCTATACATAAGCTAACCAGGCAAATCAAGAAATTGTCAACATTTTTAGTCTTAGTTGTCAGTTACCACTGTCTACTGGTGCTTTATATGTGGCTTCTGGAGAAGACAGAAGCTCTATGCAGTTTGTAATCTACTGCAATTTCTAGTCTGTACCATAAGAGTAGAAAAGCTTCAACTGACAATATTTGCCACCCCCCCAACACACACGCAGAGTTAAATACAAGAGCATTCTTCACTTTTAGTTTTGTTGTGTAAAGCTTATTCCTTCTAACTTATATACTTAGGTGGACTAGACACAATTGGACAGAAAATCTACAGACTATATATGAACTATAGAAAAAAATACAACAAATTAGCAACTGGTTGTGACTCCTAAAAAGTTAGATGTACACAGTTTCAATGGCTATTTTCAATTGATGACACAAGTGAGTCTTTGGTTATGAAAGTGAGAATTTCAGATTCAAAGAGATTTTCGATTTCCCCTTGGTATATGAACAGGACTTTTGCATATTGATTGGATGGTATTCTCAAAGCCAAGTTCAAATAGATACATTTGCTCAGTTCTGTCTGAAAATTTTGCTTGAAACAATCTATCTACTTGACCCAAGCCTTGACATTTCCCAACTGACCTGAATGTGTTCCTGGATAGCCACTGCTAAATTAGAAACAAAATGAATTAATTTAGCTTAAACTAATTAAAAACTGTGATCTGTGGTGCTGCCTCCTGTATGACTCTACATGTGAAACAGAGTATACGTAACCAGAATGAGGATTCTACAGCCCAGCACTAGCAAAAGCATAACAATGAAGTTGGTTTATTACTAAAGCGTATATGAGAATTTAATTTCCATGGCGTGCACATGGCAAAGCAATTGCTTAAATTGCCTCACCTGGGAATTTAATACAATGTTATCATCAGACCAGCCACATTGTAAATAGATTTATAATGCTTTCCATGTGCTGTACTCTGTTGCATATGAATTAAGTAATGATCTGGTATTACAATAAAATCAGCTAGTTTGCACACCTGGCAGACAGGATATTTCACTAAATTAATACCCATACAGCCACATCACAAGGCATGGGAGAGGAAACCATCTCAAAGGCATTTGACTCGCGTTTTACATGGGAAGCAAATACTCCATGGCTATGTAGAATGTCACACTACATTGAATGGGCTGCTCAAGACAATCTGTTTCTAACATCTGTATCGCAGAATTAAGTCTTCAGCATTCCCATTCAATTTTGGCCTAATTTTCTTCATTCAGTACTTTAATTACTAATCAGCAATCCACAACATTCACAAATACTAAGAAAGCCCTTTATTCTAATCTATGCGTTGCAGACAGGCAAATAATTGACACAGAGTGCAGTATGGTTTGGGTAGGTAATGAAAGAACAGCTTGTCCTACTTCCTAATCAAATTGGTCTATAGAAGAAATGGTTAATAGATTTCTCCATAGGCCTAAAACAAATTACCCAGTCTGGCCAGACTTTTCCATTGCTTCTACCATGTCTTTCAGTCTCCATATATTTAATAATGCCCAAGGTTACCAGGTGATACATCTATTAAAAACTGCTATGCTTTCATAGCCAAAGAATTTAACTGCTCCTGTTATAATTAACACTTTGGGATAGCTACAGAATACCATGAAATCATATTTATTAGCTAGTCATATAATTGCCGGCATTCATTTCTTACCAAA